ATGTATTATACATGGTGATCATGGAGATCATATCCCTCCCTTATGTACATTATACATGGAGATCATATCCCCTCCTTATGTATTATACATGGAGATCATATCCCCCCTTATGTATTATACATGGTGATCATATCCCCCCTTATGTATTATGTATGTATTAATACATGGAGATCATATCCCCCTTATGTATTATACATGGAGATCATATCCCCCTTATGTATTATACATGGAGATCATATCCCCCTTATGTATTATACATGGAGATCATATCCCCCCTTATGTATTATACATGGAGATCATATCCCCCCTTATGTATTATACATGGTGATCATATCTCCCCCTTATGTATTATACATGGATCATAATCCCCCGAAGTAATGTCATCATATCCCCCTTATGTATTATACATGGTGATCATATCCCCCCTTATGTATTATACATGGAGATCATATCCATATCCCCCCTTTATGTATTATACATGGAGATCATATCCCCCCTTATGTATTATACATGGAGATCATATCCCCCCTTATGTATTATACATGGAGATCATATCCCCCCTTAATCTCCTCTTCTCAAGAGAGAATAAATTCAGTTCCTCTAATCTTTCCTCATAGCTGATCTCCTCCATGCCTCTTATCAGTTTGGTTGCCCTTATCTGTACTTTCTCCAGTTCCCCAATGTTCTTTTTGTGAATTGGTGCACAAAACTGAGCTGCATATTCCAGATGAGGCATTTACTAATGAATTGAAGGGACAACATTTATATGAAGTGAAGAAAACCCTTTAGCTATACCATACATTTTAACCACCTCCAGTCCAGGCCAATTCTGACATTTCTACCATATATGTAAAAAAAAAAATCACCTTTTTTTTTGCTAGAAAAATACTTAGAACCTCCAAACATTACATAGTTTTTAAGCATAGGCTCTGGAGAATAAATTGCTGGCTGTTGCAATTTCTTCGAGTCACACAATATTTGTGCAGCGGTTTATCAAATGCAAAATTTCAGGTAAAAATACACTTTAATGAATTTTAATGCACACAAACACAATATGATATATCAAATTAAATTTTTAAATAAATATAAAAAGAAGATATTATGCCATGCAAATAGATACTGAACATGCATGCTTTAAAATTGCATACACCCATGGACTGGCAACAAACTACGCTATCCAAATATCTCCATAGGCGACACTTTAAAAGCCTTTACAGGTAATCAGTTTACAGTTACACAGGAGGTCAAGAGCCCATCGATCTGGGCTTTCTGGAAGAAAGGAGAGGCTTCTGTCTAGCCAAAGTGCAAAACACATGAATGCCCGTTTGGAGTTTGCAAGAAAGCTTTTGCAAACTCAAAAGAGGGCTTTCATGTGTTTTTCACTTAAGAAAGGCTTCTGTCTATCCATTCTTCCATAAAGCCCAGATCGGTGGAGTGGGCTGCAGTGATGGTTGTCCTTCTGGAACTTTGTCCCATCTCCATACAGGATCTCTGGAGCTCAGCCAGAGTGATCATTCAGTTCTTAGTCACATTTCTATCTAAGCCTCTTCTCCCTCGATTGCTCAGTTTGGCTAAGCAACCAGCTCTTGGAAGAGCCATTGTTGTGCCAAACCTCTTCCATTTGGAAAACTTATGGAGGCCACTGTTATCTTGGGAACTTTCAGTGCAGCAGACATTTTTTGTAGCCTGATGGCGCCCAGATCTGTCACACCTTGCAATAATCTTGTCTCTGAGCTCTGCAGACAGTTCCTCCTAAAATCTCCGCAAATCCAATCAACTGTATCTAGAGCATTCCATGGCAGTGTGGCCATCTTAGATCAATAATGTCCTCAGCATGCTGAACCTTTTTGTATGTGAAGCTGCAAGGTGGGAATGTCTCAGCAGCAGTGGATTGGACAGATTGGGATGCAATTATGTGATAAATTCCAACGTGTTTCTGCTGGACTGGGTTCCAACCAAGCCCAGTTCATCTCTGCCCAGGAGACATCAGCCTATAGTCAGTGGTTGGAGAAGGAAGGACCTGGCAGCACCTGCAAAGACTTTGAAGAGACAGCCAGCTGCAGATGATGTAAAGAAGGAAGATGGTGTTGTGGGACAACATGAGGCAGCGGAGCAGTGTAATACAACAGAGCAATGCTGGATTTGCTAACCTCTGAGATATGCAATGTGGACATCTCAGGAGGATGTCATTTCTTGCCTAGGTGAGAATGGAGGCAGAGCCTTGGTGGAGCATGAAAATAGTAAATTAACAAACAAAAAGTCAACTTTTTATTTTGGAGGGGGAGAAGGGCTTTGGAGGCTTTAACACAGAACTCTGTACAAAATCCTCTTTACATGTCCTTGTTGCTGATTTCCTACCTTTACTGAATATGTCATCCATCTTCTGGTTCACTCAGTAGTTGCTCTGAAACGGCATATTCATTTTCAAATCAAACCATTAATTTCTCTTTGGTTTCCTGTTTGTAAGAACGGTGGCTGCTGCAGTATGTATATATTGCAGGAAGGCATGAACCAGACGGTCTCTGAATTGACCTGTGAACTTTAGTCTGCCCAAAGCTGAGGGCAATCAATGGTTGTCTGTTCTTCCTCGCTTAGTGCAGTAATTGGATTAATAAACAGTTTTTATAATAACATCTCACTCAGAAATATCTGTACAATTGATGTTAGCAGCATCTGTAATAATGTTGTTATGTTCTTGTATGGGTCTAACTTAACACCTTCCTGTCTTCTTCCACCAGCCCTTTAACTGAGCCTTGATGCCGGGATGCAGGGTGGGCTTCCCAATTACGTGAACACTGCAATTGGCTGTCACAGTAGTCGCATGACCAGGGTCCTGTCCTAACAGCTCCCGACCACAAATAGAGACCAGGGTGCTGTTTGTGACAGCTCAGTCACTGTACTGCAAACATATGGATGCATATGTGCGGCGTGTGGATGTCCTGCCACTGCACATATGCATTAAGTAGGAAAGAGGTTAAGCTGGCCATACACAGTTGGTAAAAACTACTGCCTCCTTTGTGATGTCAGAGAAAGAGTCAAACTGACCACACATCTGTAAAATCACCTTTATTATAACAAAATCCACATGGACACTCCATGGTACAGCACATGAGAGAAAATAGCACAAATGCGTTTGGAGCCAACATCGGCCCTTAGTCATAGCCTGCCACCTTTGTGTCCACCACATGGCTGTGTTTAAGTCCTTTTCCCTCCCCCTACTTCCTTCCAAACATTACTTCTTGTCCTGAGCTTATAAACCAGTCCAACAAGTTCATTAGCATAAAAATTAGGGGAAGCCTAGCTTCTACTTATATTTGTGCTATAAAAATCACTAAAATAACCATAGCAACACATCAGGGATGCTTGACAACAATAGCCGGCAGTAGAGATTCCTCTGTCTGCGCTGTGTGTGGCTTGCCTTATTCAGTAGAGTTTTTAGGAGCACACACAGCCCTTCACATTACCCTTTTCCCTAAATAGTTCAAAATGCAATGTTTCCACCCAATGCGGTTCCTGTCCAAAAAAAATCCTTCCTGACTGCACAAGAAGAATGAGATCAGAGCTTTGATTCTGAATATTCCCACATTATCCTTTAGGAATTTGTGATATTTCATTATACATTTCTTTTTCAAGACTGCCATTGATTTTGCCATTACTACAGCATGAACTTCAGAGCTTACCGGCCGATTTTTGGGCTAACTGCCTAAAAAAAATAAAATAAAAAGTTACTCCTCCTTATATACAGAATATACTAATGATGCAATAGAGACAAATACCTACAATACAACTTTGTTCCATGGCAGCTGGCAGTCAGATCTTCTCCTGTCGTTCCTACAACATGGGTGACTTCTCAACATGATCAAAAACAATGTAGGGCTACAGGCTCTGCATTGTACTTGATGACGTTGTTGCGGCATCAAGGGACTGGCCCAGGGGCGGACTGACAACTCATGGGGGCCCCGGGCAATAGGGGATCATGGGGCCCATGTCCTTGCCCAAACTCAAAAAAGCCTATGAAAAAGGTACCAGTGGCATCTCATGGGGCCCCCTACTGACCCTGGGCCGTCGGGCAATGCCCGAGTTTCCAAATGGTCAGTCCGCCCCTAAACTGGCCACACCAGCATAGAGTAAAGGCCTTAAAGCAGAGTTTCAGTTGATTTAAAAAAAAAAAATAAAAGTCAGCAGCTACAAAAACTGTAGTTGCTGACTTTTAAAATACAGACACTTACCTGTCCTTCAGTCCAGCAGTGTCCTCACCATGGCTGCTTTCACTGACCATCTTCTCTACCCGGCGCCGGCATCCTTAGTGTGGGCATCGGGCTGTGACAGCTTGCGGCTGCACAGCTGGGTGCCCATTGCGCATGCACCAGAAGCGCTGCGCTTTGTGAAAGGTCCCGTAGTCTTCTGGAACCTGTCACGTGTCCCAGAAGACTACAGGGAGGGAGGGGGGAGGACAACCTCCGCTTCCGATCGCCTTAGGCGATCGCAGCAGAAATGGGAACGAGTACCTGTCAAGTTCGGGTACTTGTTCCCCAAAGGTGCCAATCCTTAATGGGGAGCGGGGGACATTGCATTAAAACTTCCCCTTTTGGGGTGGTGCTCCACTTTAAGGAACTAGTGGGAAGGAAGCCAGTAAGACTGTGGAGTAATATAGTAATACTTTTTTTAGACCCCTCCAAATAAAAAGCATTAAATCCTGCCTATGTGGAGTGGTTGTCACTATTTATTTTTGTACCCAGTCCAGACATTTACTTTAATTACTCTTAACATAAGGAGCTCCTTTCAAAAACCTCCATACACATCTATTTTCTGCTTGACCTTTATACAGTTCCAAGAAAAAGAAAAAAAAATACCCAAATCTTTATATTAACCTTGGATATATTTAGACCTATTAACCAAAGTGAACATGCCAAGTTTTTCCATCCTTTCACTGTATGTGAAATTATCCAGCATTTATTAAAGTGTTACTAAACCCTGGGCCCTGCATTCACTATATCTGGTCTCCCCGGACCCTGCATTCACTATATCTGGTCTCCCTGGACCCTGCATTCACTATATCTGGTCTCCCCGGACCCTGCATTCACTATATCTGGTCTCCCTGGACCCTGCATTTACTATATATGGTCTCCCTGGACCCCGCATTCACTATATCTGGTCTCCCCCGGACCCTGCATTTACTATATCTGGTCTCCCTGGACCCCGCATTCACTATATCTGGTCTCCCTGGACCCTGCATTTACTATATATGGTCTCCCAGGACCCCGCATTCACTATATCTGGTCCCCCGGACCCCACATTCACTATATCTGGTCTCCCCGGACCCTGCATTTACTATATCTGGTCTCCACGGACCCTACATTCACTATATCTGGTCCCACCGGACCCCACATTCACTATATCTGGTCTCTCTGGACCCTGCATTTACTATATCTGGTCTCCCTGGACCCTGCATTCACTATATCTGGCCCCCCGGACCCTGCATTCACTATATCCGGTCTCCCCGGACCCTGCATTCACTATATCTGGTCTCCCCGGACCCCGCATTCACTATATCTGGTCTCTCTGGACCCTGCATTTACTATATCTGGTCTCCACGGAACCTACATTCACTATATCTGGTCCCCCCAGACCCTGCATTCACTATATCTGGTCTCCCCAGACCCTGCATTCACTATATCTGGTCCCCCTGGACCCTGCATTCACTATATCTGGTCCCCCCAGACCCTGCATTCACTATATCTGGTCTCCCCGGACCCTGCATTCACTATATCTGGTCTCCCTGGACCCTGCATTTACTATATCTGGTCTCCATGGACCCCGCATTCACTATATCTGGTCTCCCCGGACCCTGCATTCACTATATCTGGTCTCCCAGGACCCCACATTCACTATATCTGGTCTCCTCGGACCCCGCATTCACTTTATCTGGTCTCCCCGGACCCTGCATCCACTATATCTGGTCTCTCTGGACCCTGCATTCACTATATATGGTCTCCCAGGACCCCGCATTCACTATATCTAGTCTCCCTCGGACCCTGCATTCACTATATCTGGTCTCCCCGGACCCTACATTCACTTAATCTGGTCTCCCACAGTACACACAACATGGAAGTGCAATTATTTTAGTAAATATAAACTGCTAAATACCTTTTCTCATCAGCAGTTAGAGCAGTCTTGTGACTTCTGTCAGTGTCCAGCAGAGCGTTAGATAAAGCTTGTAAGAGGAGTTTTCATTCTGCTCTAGGAGGATATGAAATCTCTGACCCTCTGTCTGGACAGTACTGATTGGCCCTGTGCTGATCACATGTACTCTCCCAAGAAAAAAAAAAAATAAAACCTCTCTAGCAATACACACCAAACTGAGCATGTGTATGTGACCACAGGTTTAGTCTGTATCAGGTGGTCATTTCAAAAAGAGGAGGGGCAGAGAAGAAAGGATCAAACAGTTTTACACAATGCGGAGGATTAATCCCTTAGGTTCCACAGTGAGTATAACAAGCATGCTTTCCTGCATATACAGACTGATTGTACTGTTGTGGGTTTAGTAACACTTTAATCTAGCTTGTTTTTTCAACTTGACGCCTTAAACTTGACCTCTTATTTAGGTTGTGTCCTTACAAGTCAGTTATACATCGGTAGTACCATATAAGAATAACTAGACATGTCCCTTATGATTTCGTTCCGAATCGAAATTCAGACAAAATTTTAGTTATTCTGAGGTTCAGATGTATCCGAATTTCTGAATTACAATAGTAACGAATTCAAACAAATCCGAAATAACGAAACCAAATTTAAATCGAATCAAATTCAAAACCAATTAAAAAACTAAACCGGATTTTTAAACAAATTTGAAATGTAAACATATTGTTGACTATTGCTGATTTCCTTCAAAGACTGGACGTATTAAAATATTGCTGTCTTTCAAAATTTGAATTTCGAATAGAATAGAATAGAATAGCATAGAATAGAAAAGAATATAAAATAAACATAAAAGAATAGAATAGAAAATAAAAAAATACAATAGAAAATAAAATAATAAAATAGAATAGAAAATAAAAAATACAATAGAAAATAAAATAAAATAATAGAATAGAATAGAAAATAAAATAAAAATAGAATAGAAAATAAAAAATAGAATAGAAAAGAAAAAAATAGTATAGACTACAATAGAATAGAATACAATATAATAAAACAGAATAGAAAAGAAAATAATTGAGTAGAGAAAAAGTAGAATAAAATAGAAAAAAATATAGCTGTCTTTTAAAATTTGAATTTTGAATAGAATAGAATAAAAACAGAATAGAACATAAAAAAATAAAATAAAAAAAAATATAATAGAGTATTAAAGAAAATAATGGAATAAAATTTAACAGAATAGAACAGAAAATAAAAAAAAGAATGGATTACAACAGAATAGAATAGAATAGAATAGAACCAAATAGAATAAAAAGAATATACAGTGGGGATCGAAAGTTTGGGCACCCCAGCTAAAAATTTGTATTAATGTGCATAAAGAAGCCAAGGAAAGATGGAAAAATCTCCAAAAGGCATCAAATTACAGATTAGACATTCTTATAATATGTCAACAAAAGTTAGATTTTATTTCCATCATTTACACTTTCAAAATAACAGAAAACAAAAAAATGGCATCTGCAAAAGTTTGGGCACCCTGCAGAGTTAATATCTTGTACTGCCCCCTTTGGCAAGTATCACAGCTTGTAAAACACTTTTTGTAGCCAGCCAAGAGTCTTTCAATTCTTGTTTGAGGTATCTTTGCCCATTCTTCCTTACAAAAGTCTTCCAGTTCTTTGAGATTTCTGGGCTGTCTATCACGCACTGCTCTTTTAAGGGTCTATCCATAGATTTTTCAATTATGTTGAGGTCAGGAGATTGTGAAGGCCATGGCAAAACCTTCAGTTTATGCCTCTTGATGTAATCCCCTGTGGATTTCAAGGAGTGTATAGGATCATTATCCATTTGTAGAAGCCATCCTCTCTTTAACTTCAGCTTTTTCACAGATGGCATCAAGTTACCATCCAAAATTTGCTGAAATTTTATTGAATCCATTTTTCCTTCTACTTGTGAGATGTTCCCTGTGCCACTGGCTGCAACACAACCCCAAAGCATGATTGATCCAACCCCATGCTTAACAGTTGGACAGAGGTTCTTTTCATTAAATTCTGTGCCCCTTCTTCTCCAAACGTACCTTTGCTCAAAAAGTTCAATTTTAACTTCATCGGTCCACAGAACTTGTTTCCAAAATGCATCAGGCTTGTCTATATGTTAATTTGCAAAGTTCAAACGATGATTTTTGTGGTGAGGTAGTAGAAGAGGTTTTCTTCTGATGACTCTTCCATGAAGACCATATTTGTACAAGTATCTCTTTATAGTGGAATAGTGTACCACAACTCCAGTGTCTGCCAGATCTTTCTGGAGGGATCGTGCAGTCAAACGTGGGTTTTGAATTGTTTTTCTCACAATCCTGCGAGCTGTTCTGTCTGATATTTTTCTTGGTCTTCCAGATCTTGCTTTAACTTCCACTGTTCCTGATGACTGCCATTTCTTAATTACATTCCGAACAGAGGATATTGACATCTGAAAACGCTTTGCTATCTTCTTATAGCCTTCTCCAGCTTTGTGAGCGTCAACTATTTTCAGTTTCAGTTTTCTAGACAACTGCTTAGAAGAAAACCCATGGTGCTGATTGTTGGGGCAAGGTCAGATGAGTCTGGGCATTTAAAACCTTTGAGATTGACATCACCTGGTCTTCCCAGACGATGATTGAGAACAATCCATGACACTGGCAGGTCTCAGCTTGGCAAAAGGGGGCAGTGCATGCTATAAATTTTGCAGGGTGCCCAAACTTTTGCAGACGCCATTTTTTTGTTTTCTGTTATTTTGAAAGTGTAAATGATGGAAATAAAATCTAACTTTTGTTGACATATTATAAGAATGTCTAATCTGTAATTTGATGCCTTTTGGAGATTTTTCCATCTTTCCTTGGCTTCTTTATGCACATCAATACAAATTTTTAGCTGGGGTGCCCAAACTTTCGATCCCCACTGTAGCCATCTTCTATAATTCGAATTTCAAAATTTGAATTTTGAATAGAATAAAATAGAAAGAATATAGCCATCTTCTGAAATTTTAATTTCGAAAAAAAAAAAAATAGAGTGGAATAGAATAGACAAGAATAGAGCAAAACAGAAGAGAATAGAATAGAATATAAAAGGATATAATGGAATGGAATAGAATAGAAAATAAAATAATAGAATAGAATAGAATAGAAGAATAGAATAGAAGAATGTAGCAGTCTTTCGAAATTCAAATTTCAAATAGAATAGAACCAGCTATTCTTCAAAAAAATTTTTTGGATCAGATATTTTCCAAATCAAATTCAATTCAAATACTTTGAATCCATTGAAAAATTTGGAATTCGGTCAAAACGAATAAAGAAAACCAATTCCTCTAGTTAGCGAAGTCCCAGCTACAAGTTCATGACATCCATAATGGGAACATCAGGGCTAAGATAGC